TATACATTGTATATTATATATATATGTCTGTCTGTCTGTCTGTCTGTCTGTCTGTCTGTCTATCTGTCTGTCTGTCTGTCTGTCTGTCTGTCTGTCTGTCTGTCTGTCTGTCTGCGTGTGTGAGTACTGACCTGTCATCAGTGCCTGCCGGCTGGGGTGACTGCCCCACTTAGTGCAGTCAGGAGTTAACAACCTTGTCTTATTGTTCCTGCACTCCTCTTGACCCACGGGACGTATCTATTGTGTGCTTCTGTCTATACTTTTTACCGCTCTCTTGTACTGTCTTTCTCTCTCTCTCTCCATCTCTCTCTCTCTCTCTCTCTCTCTCTCTCTCTCTTCCTTGATTTTGTCTCTCCACCCCAGAGAAAAAAAAGGAAAGAAGGAGAGAACGAAAGAGAACCAGCGAAAGACATCTCCAAAGGGTGAAAAAGAAACTTAAAAAATAGAAAGAAAGAAACTTTAAAACGCGAAAGAAAGAAAGAAAGTAAGAGAGACATTTAACGAAACGAGGAAAGAAAGAAAAAAAGGTAAAGAAAAAAAAAGAGAAAGACAGACAGAAATGTAAAGATAGAGAGAAAGGTGAGAAAGGGATGTAAAGAAAACAAAAAGGAAATTTGACGAAAGACAGGATGAAAGAAAAGAAATAATAATGAAAGAGAGAAAGAGAAATTAAAGAAAGAAAGAGAATAGAATAAAAAGAAAGAAATTCAAACTAAAAAAAGAATTTAAAATGAAAGAAAGTAAGAGTAAAGAATGAAAAGAAAAAAAAAGAAAAAAGAAAGAAAAGATGCAAAGAAAGAAGAAAAAAAGAAACAAAGAAAGAAGAACGAAAGAAAGAAAGAACAGGAAAGTAATCAAGAAGAACAGACACAAAGAAAGAAAAAAACAAACAAACAACAACGAAAAAGAAAGGAAAGTAAGCAAGAAGAAGAAGAAGAAGGAGGGAGCAGACAGTGGGCGGCCCACCAAACCAAGGGGAGTAATAAATGTTTAGTGTCCGCAGGGGAGACAACAGAACCACGACGGGCCCTTCACAAATATACGCCATCGCTGCGCCGGACTTGCCCTGCAATGACAGTCAATATTTTCTGTCAATACCCCACGACCTCTTCCGATGTGCCAGACCCTCATTCTCCTTC